AGACCCGGGCCTCCACGGTGCAGCCTGCAGGCCTGCGGCACCTCGCCTTCTGTTCGTGTAAGGGACACTTTATTGGACACTCCCAGCTCTTTAGCTCTGCGGCCGCTCCTCTGCTGTCGTAGCAGCTGGTCGACTGCACAGAGCCCAGGAGCTTTTCTTCTGCAAAGCTCAAGATCCGTGCTCCCTGGTGCCTTCCAGAAAGTTCGTCGGCTGGCCGCAGGGAGCCTAGTGTATGGTCCCAACCTGTGCAGTTTCTACTTCCCGTCACACGTCAAGGGGCTCGAGGGCTCAGGAAGAGCGCCGTGAGCTCGTGTGTCTGGACGAGGAGGGAGCATCCCGGTGTCCCCATCAAGGTAGGGCTGGGAGCCAGAAGGTAGGCCTGAAGCTCCGTCCACAAGAAGTGGCTTTACTAGGCGGTGGCAGCGGGAGAGCTAGGAAAACCACAGCGCAGTGGCCACGGTCCCAGGCCGTGGTTCTCTGTGTTTTGGGAAAGCAGTCTGACGGTTTCTGCAGTGCCAGGCTAGTTGAGACACTTACTAGACGAGGGCTGTCAGAGTCGTTTCCACGCTGAGCCTAGGCCAAGGGAGCCAAGCAGCAGACATGCAGGTCAAGCCAAGTGTCCAGGGAAGACAGGGCAGAGGACGCACGCTGCCAGGGGTCACAAACGCCTGGCCCGTGTGGCCGCGGGTGGCCTTCACAGTGTGGTGTCGCAGGTGGACCTGTGCGAGCTCGTGTGTGTATCATAAGAGACGGAAGACTTAATCCATTTTTATAGGAAATAGAAATAAGATAGCTCAGATGTTTGAAACTTTTCTGACGCACAATTTGAGTAATTCCTAAACAACTCTCGTGCGTGTTTGGTCTCCGGCAGGCCCAGAGTGCAGACTCACTAGCTCCCCTGATGTCGGACTGCCTGGTCTTCAGGTCTGCCGTTTGTGAAGTAGGGAGCTCTCCCTGGAGGGCCTGCACTTTGTGACGCTGTCGCACATCTGGTGTGTGAGCCAGCTCTGCTCTCTGCCCGCGCCCCACGTGGCACCAACCTGCCTTGGTGCTGTGCCCTGTGCCACGCCCACTCCTCCGGCCGCCCACCAGGCTTTCCCATGTGCTGGGAAGAGATAGTGACAGTGCCGTGCTCCCGCCAGGGCAGCGGGAGCAAGTGGAAGATTCGACTTTTCCGATAAAGATCGGGGCTGTTTCCTGGCTCGAAGCCGAGAGCAGATAGAAAGGTCGGTTTGCATTAACAATGCAGGAGTTGCGCTGCATGCTCGCAGTAATGTCGTTATTCACCCACTTGCCCTTTTTATCATTCCTTTGAACTTCCTGCATTTGCTTATCGTGATATCCCTGCGTCTGTAAACAGCCTGAGAGGAGCTGCTCTGTTTCTCTAAATAGACTCTTAGGTCATTTTATTACCCAGCATTGCGGTCTGCAGAGCCTCCCCATCTGCTGCCCTTCCGCATCTGGGCCGCTTTAACTCTTTAAGGCTACAGGAAACCAGAAACGCCCTTGTGACATTAGTTACTTTTTCCTTCTGTACTGCTTTCCAATTTAGCATTTTCCCTGGAAAAATCGCGAGCACTGGTGAGAAGTGCTTCAATGCCTGTTTGGACAGGGCCTGGCCCCGGTTCTGGCGCTCTGGCTGCTCTCTCTGCTGCACTGTGCTGCTTGCCCTGCCTGGGCTCCCGGCCACGCAGGGCCTCTTCTCTCAGTTCAGAACCTCTAGTGACGCGAAGTCGTAGAGAGTCCAGGGCACCTCTCCTGTGGCCAGCGGGCAGGTCTGCACTGCTGCGGGGCTGTGTGTGGGACAGGGAGGCAAAGCCAGCTCGCACCGACGACCGGCCAGTAGCCGTCTTCTGCCAGAGCCGGTTCCTACACGGCTGGGTTTTCTTGCCTGCATGTGTCGGGGTAAGAACACATTGGCAGACCTGTGCCAGTCCGTCTGGCTACCTGTGGTGTGGTAGGATAGCTCCTTCCGCAGCGAAGGAGAGTGAGCTATAAGATTTGACTCGCATTCTGTGCGGCAAGTCGCAGCTGGTCACCTGACCACGAGCTCCTCTCACGGGGCGGGGAGCACGCGGTCATGTGTCCACGGATCAAGGAAATTGAGAAACATGTAATTGCTCGCGCTGCCCACTTGTAAACACACTGCGTGCAGAGGCGGTTTCAACCATGGGGCTGTTTCCTTCCAAGCTGCTTTCTGTTCTAGCTAAAATAAGCTGGGCGGTTCAGTGGTTGAAAGCAAAACACAACACACACACACGCACACACACACACGCACGCACGCGCACGCACGCACGCACACACGCACACACACGTGCACACGCACGCACACACACACACGCACGCACATGCACACACGCGCACACACACGCACATGCGCACACACACGTGCACACGCACACACGCGCACACGCGTGCACGCGCACACACGCGCACACGCACGCGCACACATGCACACACACGCAAACACACACCACACACGCACACGCACACACGCACGCACACACGCACGCACACACACACACACACACGCAAAAAAAATACCCCCGAATCTTGGCATTTCGCAACAACCAAAGTTCTTTATTTCTCTTTCTTTTTCTAATGAGAGAGTGAGCACGGGGGATGGGGGATGGGGGAGGTGGGTTTTCTTTGTTGTTGCTGCTTTGTTTTTTGCTGGAGAGACAGAGAGAAGCAGAGACACAGAAAGCAGAAGTCACCCCCTCACCATCCCCTGGGCGGACGGCCATGTTGGAGGCCCTTCTCCTCTGCTCTCTCAGGATCTTGGGCACGCACGCGAGACGCCAGGGCTGGGCCTTAGCCAGTCAGCTCTGCAGGGGCCCAGCCACAGTTCATTGTACATCTCTGGCCCTGAGGTAGACATTTGACAATGTCCTGCAACGCTGGGCGCTTCCTGCCCCCGCCTCCCAGTCAGCTGGGCCCACAGGCACCCACCGCCATGCCTGGCCTAGTTAGGTTAGGCCAGAATCGGACCTGGCCTCCCGTGGAGCCTCACAGCGGGGCCCACAGTGCGTGCCCAGGGAGTGTCGGCAGGGCTCTGGCAAACCACACCCTCAGGGGATCCTGCAGTGTTGGCTTCTCGCGACAGCGACAGGATGCAGCAAAGGCAAGGTCGGCCCCATGAGGTCCTCAGCACCACTTTATTTAAGTGAATTCTCTCTTCCTCTTAACAATATCCCTTTTGGAACAGCAGCTGGAAGTGGGGCTCATGGAAGCTGCGCCGCCAGCTGTAAGCAGGGCCCCGTCTGCGTGCCGCGTCTGGCCCTGTGAGCGGGTTCCAATCCCAGGATTCACTGGGCAGACCTCATGGCAGCAGAGCAGCGGGACAGTGCCGTTCTGGTGCGATCGCTAGTCACACGCCAGACTTCCCTGCTTGAGAGAAACCCCTGTGTGACACGAGGCTCCCCGCTGTGAAGCAAGGCTCTGGAGTCTCCTAGCAAGTTTCTGAGCCTGGGGATGGGGCTGGGACGTCACCATGCAGCGAGTCTGCAGAACCCACACTTCAACAACAGCCAGGGACTTCCTGAAACTGGCATGGACGCCAGCTTTCGTCATAACGGCTGCCTGGACCCCTCCTCGCTCAAAGATGCTGCATGTACTGACAGCCGGTTCAAGAATCAGAAATTTCCAGGGGCCAGCAGTTAGTGTAATGGCTATGTCGTTGAACTCCCATGTAGTCGGCCACGGTTCGAGTCTGAGACCCGGTGGCTTAAACTCACGCCGGGCGCGTGTGCGTGCATGCCCAAGATCCTGAGAGGAGAATGGAGGAGAAGGGATTGTGGCATGGTCATCCTCCCTGCGGGGTGATTTCTCTCTTTCTGTATCTCTGTCTCTGTCTTTCTGGTAAGCACACGTGCCCTATAGGAAAAACCTCTCAAAAAAAAAAAAAAAGAATCAGAAATTCCCAGACCCTTCCCTGCCGGGAATGGCATTTGTCTGCACTTTGCTCTGGGGACAGGACCTCTGTTGGGAGAACTGACCTGCGGACGCTATTCGCTCTGTCCTGTTAGGCTGTCATTGGTGACACCAGCCACAGCACCGAAGGTGGCCTCTGCTAGTCAGCATTCATGTGGACCCCGTGACCTGAGGGTGGCAGTGGGTGAAATAGGGACTTGCACGTCTCTGTGACACAGGCTGCATGCTGCAGTCTGAGTGGGTTCGCGACACGCAGGGACCACCACGCGGACTCCTCTCTGCTCTGTGGAGTGAGGGAACCCCAATGGGGAGCTTGGCCAAAAGTAATGGTGGCTTCTGCCTTGGAAAAGTGACACCACAGGGAGGGAAGTTTCAAGACCAGTTTCCTCAGCCCCGTCTGTGGTCACAGTTATGACCTCCTCTTCTGGGTCTTCCAGAGCTGGAGCTTTGCTCTCTGGTGGTGCTGCCTGTG